GAAAGATTTCTAAACACCACTGCAGAAAGCTTAGCCCAAAACCGTCACTTCCCACAGCAGCGAAAGAAAGTAAATCTCTTTGTTTATGGCTCTTTCTCTCTCTCTTGGAAATTAAGCCTCTCTTGAATTGCGAAGATGGGTTTCAGAGAGAGCAGGCGAGGCCTTTATATAGGGGAGAGAGAAAGAGACGCGTGCGAAGAAAACAAAAGAAAACGCTGTGAAACGGAGCCTCGTCTAAGTGGGTTTCTCGAAGGACCTGTAGTTTGTTGCCACGTGGGGTGAAAGTAAAGAGCCGTTTCCGATTGTTTTTAGGGACGGGGGAGGACGTGATCCAACGGTCGAGAGGGAATGCGATTGAGTGGATGGAGGACTTTTCTTTCAGTGACCCGAGTCTGAGTCAACGTCAAAGGAGGCCTAGAGGGAGAGACGGAGGAAAGGTCGGCGTGAGTGCGGTATCTAGAATGTTTGGGATATTAGCCGTTGGATATTTGGATGTACGCGGCGGAATGAAATCTGAGACGTACACGTGGCGAGAGAAAGAAAGGGGAAGTGGTGGCGGAGTTTCCGAGTTGTGTTCTGGAAGGTTAGGCAATTTGGCCTCGTGAAAAAGAAAAAAAGGCAAGAGGGTCTACGCGAGAGAGAAATAGCCAAGTCAATGGTCTTAGTAGGCTTGCTTGTGAGGGTCACGAGTAATGAGTCATGACTCGTGCTGACGAATGAAGGCCATTGATCCAGAATGCTGTAATTTGTATTCGTGGTATGTAATGTATCTATCATTTTCTTTTTGGCCTTTAACAGCTGTCCACAGAACAGAACACAGGAAACCAAATTACGCACCCTCCGCTCCACAAAATAGCACATTAATGAAAATGAAAATAATTGAGACTGGGTTTTCTTTTCTCTCTGTCTCTGTCTCAGTCTCTGCTTTTATTTTTATTTGTCTCCTTCATGTCGTTTAACTTACAGCTATATATAATTATAATATATAGAGTGCAGCGTTTAGGTATTTTGTGTTATGATTGAGTGGCAAGGCAACCGACTTCGAAGACGAGTCGGTTCCAGTGATACTTGGAGTTCAATTATTTCTTTTAAAGGACATTTTCTATTAATAGGAACGATAATTTATTCAACACACAACACAAATATTAGAATTCAAATCTAAAATCTTGCTTAGAAGAATAATTACTCCAAACTACTCATTAGTGAGTTATTTTGTCTGGAGGCACTTCACTTGGATCAATGGATCAAGAGCGTATTAGTTAAGTTAATCAATGTCAACTGACCCAACCCAAAGAATAATCTAAGTCATACTATTCTTGTTTGTTAAAAGGAGAATGCTAGCAACTTTCTCTTCAAAATTTTAAAATATTTATATATTTTAGATATCTTTCTTGTTATGTCATGTCACCTCGTGTTCTGCTTGCTTTCCTGTGAATGCTCTAGTAATAATGCATGCGTAGGATGCGACAGTCAGTCAGTGGCTATAACTTTACACGTCGCAGCCAGCCGGCCAGACTATACTCTCCTCAAGCGGATGGATGCATGAATCTCTGCGCGCCACCCTCTGTCTCTGTCCCTTTAATTTGCAAATTTGCAAATCAGTCTCACCACTCGAGGGGTGACGGTATTTCTCACTAACAACTCATATTCATATATATATATATATATATAT